TTTTTTTTTGGGGGGGGGGGGGTTTGGAGTGATGTTTGGTCTGCTGGGCGTCTCTGAGACATTGTTCGAACTCAAATGAGTAGGATTGAATAGGGTTTAGAGGTTGCGGTGGATTGTGCCCTAAGGATGCCTATATACTCAAGTCTTAACCCTTAACCCCTACATCCTACACCCCAAACCCCCAAACCTTACACCCCTGAACCCCTGAAGCTCTTAAACGTAAGTGTTTTTGTGCCTAATTTGGCTTGCTGCTCAAGGTTCGAGGCCCTACCACCAGGCCCCGCAAGCCGGTAAACACAACAACTCTCAAACCCACGTATAGTATAGTATATCATAGTATATCATAGTATAGCATAGTATAGCATAATACGGTATGGCATGGCATGGTATGGTATGGTATAGTTCAGATTTTATGAACCCTGAAACTTTTCAATTCTTAAGCCCTTCTGCAAACTCTGGCACCCTCAAGTTTCCAGGAGTCAGGATTGCCAGAAGATAAGAATTGACTTTCAAGGCAATCATCCAAGCCGTCTACAGCCCTGTTAAAAAGCCTTCGGAAGCCGCTAGTGAATCCGAAGAGTATGAACCTTAAACCCTAAACCATTGCACCTTTTAATATTCACTGCCGTCTGTTGAGGCCTGAGCTTGGCTGTGCGTCCCGGCGAGCGCGTGGGCATCTGTGGCCGCACAGGCAGCGGGAAGTCCACGCTGTCCCTCGGAGCAGGCTTTGTGGGGTTTTAGGGCGTACCTTAACCTACCAAAACCTCTATTTTGTAGATAAATCCCATTTTAGGGTTCATAGTCAAGACCTAGAGAAACCATCGGTTATGGTAGTTGAGGGTAGGTTGTTCGGGCTGTGGGTTTAGGCAGTTCCTTCAGGCGCTTTCCTTTCTATGTGAACATGGTTTCCGTGTCTTTGTGTGTGTAGGGCTCGTTTGAAGGACAGGAATCCCCCTAAACCCTAAATCCCCAAACCCCCTAAACCCTGAACCCTAAACCCTAAACCCCATAACCCGATAAACCCCATAAGCCCCATAGACCCCATAAGCCCCATAAACCCTCCAGCCTCCGAGCCTCATAGGGCCGCTCAAACGGATCGTACCTCGTGGAGCTTGCTGTAAACCCACCGAGGTTTCTTGCGTGCTTCAGGATGGTCGAGGCAGAAGGGGGCGAGATTCACGTCTGGGGACACTGGGTGAAGGAGTTTAGGGTTTGGGGTTTAGGGCTGAGGGTTTAAAATTTAGGGTTCAGGGGTTGGGGATTAGGGTTTAGGGTTTAGGCAGCTTCTTCTTAAGGAGTTTAAGTTTAAGTCACCATAGAAAATCAAAGGGCTTCCTTATTATGGTAGCTGAAAAGTGAGCTCCTCAACCCTAAGCGCTTTTTGAACCCTTTGGCTTCTTTATTATGGAAACGTAAAACTTATATATATATATATATGTATGTATGTATGTATGTATGTATGTATGTATGTATGTGTGTGTGTATGTATGTATGTATGTATGTATGTATGTATGTATGTATGTATGTATGTAGGCTGATTATGCTCCAGGGTCCTCGCTCTCGTACGCGAAGAAATCGGCACGCGGCGGTTCGCGTCCCCGACCGACAGCAGCCGGGTCGAAGCACTCAGAGCAATCCTCGTGTTAGCGTTTGCGTTCTGTATAGCATAAAAACTGATACTTTCTAGCATAGTATATATGTGCATGTGACAATGGAGAGATACCTTGCTTGCTGGCTGAGGGACGTAGTCGGGCTCTACCAAGTCCGCCATGATGACAGCATGAGGCCCGGGATGCTGCAATGCTACCAGCTAGGACGACTTGGCTGCATCGCCACAAATCTTCTGCAAACGCATGCGCACAAAAGCTGCCATTCCACAAAGATGGAATGTCGGGTGCGGCCTTTTGGTTAGTATGCAAGCTTGCGATGTGGGTGCCCTCCGATCTTTGGAGTTGCCCGGATTACACATAATTTCGGCACAAAACTCTCGACCGATGACCAAACGTCATGAGCACCGCCTACTCACCTGGCGGCTTCCAGAATGGACTGGAGCTTCTGGGCCAGCATCATGTTGCCCTTGATCTTCAGCTTGCCGCCCATGAAGGCCTGCATGCCATCCAGCTTGCCTTCTGCCATGGCCATGAAGTCAGCATCCGCCATGGTAATGGTGCAGTCCTGGCGCTGCAGGGCTTTGAACAGTCAGGCTGCAACGATTCCGAAGGCAGCGAAGAAACACAAGGCACTGCAAGGCCACAAGATGACCTGAGGTTCCGGCAGCACTGCCCTCTTCACCAGCCTTGGCTGATCCGCTGCCGTTCTTCAGGTCCAGGACGAACTTGCCGGCGTCGCCGCCATCGCTGATCACGAACTGGAAGACCTGAGCTCGAGTCGCAGAGCGGCCAAGCGCAACCAACACGGCTATCGTCAACCGACCTGGGTCGATTGGTGAGGCTGCAGGTGCATAACTTTCATCCGGGCCACCGCGCCGCCAAGCTTCACCATCTCAGGGCCCTTGGCCTTCACTGCTGCCGACATGGCATCAAAGAGTGCCTGCGACTTCATGGCGGAAACACAGAACTGTGCGGAAGGCTAGGTGCTACAATCAGTCGATCTTCAAACGCTTCGGAAGCACAACTCTTGTTTCCCGAGGACGACAAATTACGCTAAGCCGCTAAGCAGTCGAGAACAAGATACCGTGTGAGGCGGGCGTTGTCTGTTTACTGTCTTTTTGTTGTTTCTGCAGGGCCGATATCTGTTCGATCTGTCCAAATTAAAAACTGCTTCCGCACGAGCCCTCGATCCACGGCGGCTTCCGCTTGAAAGCTGTGTGGTGAGAAGAACATCAAGAGCTCACCGAGTCGCAGAATAATCCCTTAATAATCTTCAGCTTGCCATCCATGAAGGCCTGCATTCCATCCGGCTTACCTTCTGCCATGGGCACGAAATCGGCATCCAGGCATCCACCATTGTGATGGCGCAGTCCTATTGGTGTCGATGCGTGGACAAGCAAGTCAGTTCATCCTAGCGGCGGCGGAAGCTTCCGCTGAGCAGCAGGTGCTTCCACACCAGCCTTGCTTCAGCCGCTGTCATTCGCCGGCATCGCTGATGACGAAATGGAAGATGTGAGCAAAGCAAAGCACACGGGCGCAAGGTCCATCAAACCACAGCCATTCTCAACTGACCAGGGCAATTAAGCTGCACGGCACAATACAGCATCCAAGTCACGGAACCGCGAAGTTTCACTAGCGCTTGGCCTTCACTGCCTCGAACATGCCATCGAGCTGAAGCAGGACAGCACAAACAAACTCTTGTCCAGGCTTGGGTCCTCAATGGCTGCAACATGCGAGTTTAACATCGTGCTGTCCCATATGGCCCATCTGAACTGCAAAACGTCGAAGCTTTCTTGCTACTCTCACGACTGCCACTACAGCTGGTCAGCTCCTACTGGTACAGCTGCAGCCAGCGCTCCTCCTGCAGGTACTATTGCGCCAACGACTTCACGATGGATTTTCTGGACCAGCTTGGGCTTCATACAGACAGTTGCAGTTGGCATCCAGCCAACGTAGTAGCACGAGTTGCAAATCCCCATAACTGAGTCGATAAGTGCGAAGCATCTTTTGATAGTAATCGCAGTGGTACCCGGTTAAGGACCGGTGAGCAAGAGTATACTGCACGCCAAACCCAAGCAAAAGCAAAGTGTGCATGACACGGGGCCGGGGCGGCTGCGCAGCACCTGGAACGCTCTTCGGGCGCTTAGTGACAAACGTGTGATCAAGTGATCAAGGCCCTCTTCAGGCGCTTAGCCGTGACAAAGCAGCTAGGGGTGGTGAAAAAGCTGACGGCTTTTTCTGGCTAGCACATCGCCTGCGAGCGTTCCAGATCGACAAGAGCAGCCGATCATGTGCCATTTACGGACAGGCCAGGTATACAGGAAGAAGAACTAACTAAAAACCGCCCCTAACATCTTTTCTAACAGACACTTGGGGTCTTGACCACAGCCGTCACAGTGACCCTGCAAGCAGTTAGCATATTCAATACGACAGTACGAGCAGCTTGATTAAATACGAATATGTGTGCAGTGCACATAACGTAAGACTACTGTGCACGAATACATGCTTAAAGAGAAAAGGCATGTGCATGATCAGGCGCCAAGCTGCATGCAAGCATTGTCAACTACCTGCGAGCATGCGTAGCTACACATCAGTGACAATCCTGCGACCTACTTGCGCACACAAACAAACACATGTGTGCGGCTACGCTCGTACAGCCGCACAGTGACAGACAGACCGAGAGACAGAGAGTTTGAGAAGACAAGGGGCCCTGACAGAGAGTACAAGCCATAAGGCTCCCGGCCCGCGTCAGCTTGGAGATCTCTGCCTCTGCAGCTGTCAAACTGCGGGTGTCACAGTGTAAGGCGAGCTCCGAAGAGTCACAAGAGTGCGTAAGACTACATTTTGATCATATTGAATATAGGTAATAGTTGTAATAAGTATTCATTGGGCTGCTGTCGCTCAGTCATAACATCATCATACACACATGGGAGTGATGGTGCTGGTGACGATCACGACAAAGAGCAAAGATGAGCAAAGGATAGCAAAGGAGCATTCCCTCTTCTCGCAAGCCACTGCTATGCGATGTGCCACCAGAGCTTGGCCAGACGTGCTTCGCAGATCTGTAACATGTCGTCGTGGAGGTGCTGCTGCTATGTACATGTCGCCCAACTGCTTGAAAGACTTGCCCGATCACGTGTCCGCAGTGCAAGGAGTGCATCGGCGGTATTTCAGTTCGATGCAGGGGAGCTTTGTCTATGTTTTGAGCTTCTCAGGGACACCTGCATTGACCTCAACGTCACTCAGCTCGATGCTGAAAAGAGGAAGCCACTGCGAAACGTCGGCTCGTGGTACGATGCCGCTGGCTCCAGACACCTCGGCACCCGGAAGTAGCCGCCAGCTTCGAGCCTGGAGCCTCAATGGGTAGGACAGCACGTCGGTGTATCCGCTCCGGCCATCTGAGAGGCCACCACTCAAATTTGGTAGAGTCACGTCGACCTGAGATCAATAAAGAGCATGAGAATGCCCGCAATCAAGGCCTACTGGATCTCACTGGGTTGGAAAGACCTGTATCCCAAAACCTCCCCGAACCGCCTATAAACCCTGAACCCCCCTAAAGCGGCACCCGGTAGCCCCATTGTGCACGAACCCGTTTCTTCACCAAGTCTCCCTCTCTGCTCTCTCTGTTGGACTTAAGAGACAGCCACGGGAACACCCGAAGCAACACTGCGACTACTGCAAGACACACCCATCTAGCACGGCTGAAGTCCAAGCCTTCTCTGAGTCAAGCCTGGCCACTCTGCTGCTTGCCTTGTCCATCCACGGTGGGTGGCCCACGGTAACGCGGGCACTGCGATCCACACGACCCAAAGGCCCACAGCCGTCCCCGACATGCAGGAGCGGAGCAAAACCGAAGCCCAGCACCTTGGCATTGCATTTGGGATGTGATGACATCGGGCGAAGTCGTGATACAAGTTCAAGTAGCTACAATTCGCGTTAATGCGACATCCAGGAAGCCTTCCCATCCTCGTCTGACGTCTGCATGCTGATATCACCTGACGTTGAGGCGATGCCATCGTTTCAACATTCCGTCAATGCTGCTAGGCTCTTGTTTGTGCTCACGCAAACCCTTCGTAATCTCGGAAAAGGTTTGACAAAAAGCAAACAGACTACCAACCTGACAATGTGCCTCTATGTGCCTGGCGAGGAGCACTGCGAGGTGGGAAGTCCCCACACCTCACGGCCGCCCTTGGAGGCCTCCTCGCTGTCCACCCAAACGTGGGAGGCCCAAGCGCCCCAAGCACCGGCAGCCAGCACCAAACTGCTCAAGAGGCCCACCTGCTCTTATGATGTCTGCTCTCGCAGATGTGGGGTTTGCCATTCTTCTCGGAGTATGATTCTGTCCTGTTGCATCACAACAACGACGACAACAACAACAGCAACAACAACAACAACAGCAGCATATACAATTTTCAATTGAATGCTGCGCGAGCGTGCTCTGCGCTTGGCGGGCGTGGTGCTTAGCCGACACTCGGTGAAACAGGCTGATCATTGACTCCCGATGAGATCCTTGCAGAGACTACTCTGCTTAGCTGTGAATGTCGAGATACTGGCTTCAGGACATGAAAAGCCAAAAACGCTGTCACTGTGACCCTGACTATGGCACAACCTCCGACACCGTCTTATGTGAGCCAACGCGTCCGATGCTCACGAACCAAGTTCCGAGCCGGGTCCCCGAGTGCCAGTCTAGTGGCGTCCCACACTTGGTCACGCACAGGAGAGGGCGATGGGCCGTAAGGACGAGATTCGTGCCTGAAGGCTGGATAGAATTCGTGTTTGGATGGAACATACCGGCACAGAGCTGAAGTGACCTCCTGGAGCTGCCTTTTTTTTGTAGTCCGCTGCTGCAGTGACGAAACCGCGCATGAAGGCAGGCTGGCGCTAACAGGCGAACATGTCGAGTGGAATATATTACTGGCGTTGGCTTATGAAAAGAGAGACTCACCTGCCTGCGTCCAGCAAAAGAACTGCAGTGAAACGGCAGCCTCAGTCTAGGCCCCTGGATTATCTGTTGGGTTGTGCCCTAGCTAAGGAGGCTGCGCCCGAGAAATAGATCTCAGCGTCGACTCGATTGCGACGACTGACTGGTCCAGGCCTCCGACGAACGATAGTAAGGATAATCGTCGTCCTGGTTGTCCCATTTCTGGTCCCATTGCCACGACGACCAGCTGCCGTCATCTTGTCTGTAGCCACCACCCGCACCTGACTGGCCCGAAGAAACATCCTTGGTGCGTTTGTTAGCATTGGTGTGCCACGACAAAGCGCGTTTGTGACGATCAGAAAGTCCAGGGCCAGCGGGAGCCTCGGCGTCGTGGATGATCCTGACCCATTTGTCCGGGTATTGGCATCGGATCATACGTGTATACAGTCCGGCTTCTCTAGCAGATTGATTGTGCACTGTGATGACAGTAGAGGCGAAGAGGTCAAATCGCTTCCAGGACGCCAAGTTGTCAGGGCGCCACCACATTGCTTGAAAGAGTGCTCCGGCCAAGCCGTGAATATTCGTCGGCTTTTTGAGTTCCACATAGGTGTCTCCGTATCTAGTGGCCACAGTAACGTGGCCCTCTTTGGTCAATACCTGACGTGCAGAAAGAGCACGATTCCAGTCCACGCCGGATGTGGTGGTGGTCTTTCGAATGGCCCGGAACAATCGTGAAACCTTGGCCAATCCTTTGACTCGAGCCTCCCATAATGGCTTTTGCTCCTGCGATGACAGCCCTCCCAGAATGACAGGAGATCCAAGTACCTGGAAGCTGGCCAAAGCTTTTATCCAGTTCTGTGCTGCTGTGGATTGGAGCTCCTCAGTGATGGCTTCCATCGTGATCGGAATATCATTGTTGACTGGAGCCTGGGAAAAAAAGGACACTGGGGGGACGTTGGGGAGGCTCATACTGAGGGGGAGCCTTGGGCAGGGGTGGCTGCGTGTGGGTGTTTTCCTTACTCGTCGCCTGCTTAGCTGGCCGGCCTGTGGCCTGTTCCACCACAAAAGCACCATCTTGATTGCCACGCTGATCCGTGGCACTGGTGCAATCGTCATACTTCGACAGACACGGCCGGTCACGGCCGTCGGAGCTTCATATGGCAGCGTGAACTATGATGGAGGCGTCCACTGCCGTTTCTGACCAACTTCCTCCCGGGAATGCGCTTGTCGGCCATGGTGGAAGAGGGTCGTGAGCAGCAGTGATCCAGTGATCCATTGCGACAGCTCAGGCTGAAAGTGCCTGTGGACCTTCGTTTGCGGAGCCATCACGCCAGGAGAGGTAGGCCATCATGTAGGAAATCCCGCGCCCGGAAAAGGGCCGGGCAGGGCCATGACCATCTGATGCGCAGCATCGAGTCGAACCGGCATCTGGGGAGCCTGGGCGAGCCGTGCAGAGCTCCGTGGCATCTCCAAGGCATCCTCGAGCTCATCCTGCGTGGCTTCCTTCTCCTCTAGATCTTGCAAATTGGACCGAGCTGCCTCGAGCTCCTCCCGGTGCAATGCCGACCTCCTCGGCATCATGCTTTTCAGAGGTGCGCCTTGTTGCGCTTCCGCCCTCCTCGCTTGCCTCTGATTTCTGGCCGGCGGCGGCGGCTTCGAGGCTGCGGCTGCTGTCTTGACGAGGCGCCGGAGGCGTTTTCGTTCCTTAAGCTGTGCAGGCTCAGTTAATTCAGGGTTTTAGATCGGTGTAAAGTTTAAGGCTGCCTTGGGCATAGGGTTCAGGGCTTCAGGAGCTGCGGCTTAGATATAAGGTAGGATCGGTAGGACCTTCCCGTAGAAAAAACCCTGAAGCCCAAGACTCTAAACCCAATACAACCCTAAAGCCTTTAGCACTGAACCTTAAACAAACAAACTAGAAACCAACAGCAACAACAGCAACAGCAA